AATATCATATATTTAATAGCCTTGTATTATTATTATTTATTATTTAATTTTTTTTTATTATGACTTATTAAATTAATAAGTTGATAATGAAGATATAAAAATATAAAAATATAAAAAGGATAATTTATTAAACATATATAATAAGTCTTTTAAACCTCACAAGTTTTAAAAAATATTTTTATATATATTATTCTAAGATATAAGATATTTTACTTTGGATTTTATAAAAAAAATAAGTAATTTTCAAGTATTATTGCATATATATCCCCTAAAATTAGGAAACTATCAAGAAATTTCAACAAAGAAGGTAGATTGTTTAAATAACATAAAATTATAGAAAGTTTGGCATTGAAGGTAGATTAAGTAGAAAAAAAATAGTTTCTTGTTTGATTTTAATTATAACTATTAATGATGATATATATATATATAGGAAGTTCTTGAAGCCTCATTCCAATGTTGTTAATTTTGGAAGATAGGAAATAAAAGACAAGGATAGGAAACTAGGCACGAGTGTTGGGAATAGGAGATGGGGGACATAGAATAAGAAACAGAAACATGGATGGATAGAATTGATCATAAGATGGTAATGTGGAGTGTGGCTTTAACAACTTCTTATATTTTTTGTACCATCAAATTGATTAAATTATATACTATCTTCAAAATTATGCACATAGATATGACTTTCTATATCATTGTATTTTAGGCTTTACTAATATCCAAAAAAACTCCACATACAACTTATACAACTATTTATATTAGTCTATGACTTATATTAAAAAAATTAGTCTAAAAAATAATGAACTTAAAGCATATCTTTGACATAATAGAAAACTTTATTGTAATACTATATTTGGTAATATTATATATAAGATAGGTTTTATTTAAAAAAAAATTATAAGTTATTCTTTATTTAATTACTTTGAATAGAATTCATGTTTTTATTGTTCAATCATAAAAAATAGTTTAACATTATCATATTTTATTTTTATAATATATAATATTTTTCTAATAATATTTTAGTAGTACAGATTATTTAAAATAATATACAAAGCTACTAATATAATTTTTTTATTGAATGAAATCAAAGAAAAAATAATATTATTTTAAAATAAATAAAAATATAATACTTATAAAATTAATAAGTTAGAAGTTAAAACTAATTTTTTGAGATATATTAATTGTTTAGTAGAATATTTTACTTGAGAATAAACTATTATTTTAAAATTTGGATATTTTATTATTATTTAAAAATTGATATTAAATCTTAAATTGATATCTTGTTAAAATTAGAATATATTTGTTATTATAGAATCAATGATCTATTTTAATATATATATATATATATATATATATATATTGACATAAACTCTTTTGAACACATCATAAAAATTATATATATATATATATCTTAAAAATTAGAAACAAATTCATAGGATCAATCAAATTCTTTGATACCATCTATATTTAATCAAATTATATTTAAAGTATAAAAAGATATTGCACTATTTTTTAGCTTTAAAATAATTTAATCTATTAATGGAATAAAATTAGAAGTTAAAGTTGGATAGGCTAAAAGAAAAATCATATAATTAGAAAATTTAATAGAAAAATTATTAAAAACATAATAAGAATCAATCAAAAAAAGGCTATTTATCAAGTGTATATAGTATTATAGTTTTTTACACATATGAATAAGATATAAAGATTTAATATGATGTTTATAAATAAGATAGTATTTTTTTATTTTTTTATTTTTTTAAATTCTAAAAAAAAAGAGCTATTAGATATGATTTTTATAAAGGTGATATGTAAGCATTAGTAGTGTAATAGATAGTTATATTTACTATTGTATTTACTTAGTCAAATAAAATTATGTAGAGATAAGTAGAAGTAAATTAAATTATTGATACCTTTTTAGAAAGCTTCTTCAAATTTTTATAGACTTTAAACGTATTTATGAATAATTGGTAAATTGAAAACTTGGCCTATAAAATGACCGCATATTGTACATTTAGCTATTAATATTACAAGCTGGCCAAGTGATGCATATGTTGAAAACTTGCCCCACAAATAAGACATGAGTCTCAAAAGTTGAACTATGTAAGCATTTGAAATATTCTTTTTATTAAAATAAATATAAGAGATATGCTACTAATACAATACAATTAAAATATAATATTGGTTATATTATTTTTATATAAATTTAAATAATAAATACACTTGTATATTTAAATATAATTTATAGTATTTATTTTTTATATAAATGAAGGATTTTAAAATATTAAAAACTTACCAATAGTAAATACTAAAATTTCGTAATTCTATAAAATTAATTCTTTTGAAAGATCTTTAAAAAATATCATACCTATTAGATGAATATCCATCTATAATATTAACACATGTTAGTTACTTTTTTGTATCAATTATTTCTCAATTTCGGCAATATATCTTCAAAGACGTCCAGTTTTTCTTATTTTATAAAAAAAAATTGCATTATTTTAGGAAAATTTTTAATACTTCATGAATATAAATATAAACTAAATTGAATTAAATCATATATAAAATAATATAATTTTCTGATATTCTTACCAAATGGTGTTATTAAAAACAATGTCTAATATATACAAAAAGCTTATTAGGTTTAAAAATGCATATACTGTAATAATAAAAAAATAAATTAAAACTTAAAAGTTTATTCTAATTTTTATGTAATACTAGATATAAATATAAAAAAATTATAACATAATAAAATAAATTTAAATGCATGTATTTTGTAGTCTTTTGATTACACTAGATAATATTTATTAGAAAAAATGTCATTCAATGAAGGAGAAAAATAACTAAATAAATAAATAAATAGTCATAAAACTAAACTAATTCTAAGTTATTTTAAGCTATTATTGCTCTATTCTTAGCGGTCCATTTCTATGTATTACTTAATAGACTAAAGTAGTATAATTTTTTAAAAGTTTACTCAATTCTAAATCAATTTAAACATTCAAACTTGATTTTTTTTAAATTGGCTTCATTTATACAGTTTTTATGTTCAAATGCTCTTAAAATCTATTTGTAAAAATTATATTTTAATCTTAAATGTTTTTACATAATTAAATAATAATTAAGATTGAAACTAGATTTTTTTTAACTTAATTAGTTTTTATAGTATTAAGTGTTTTATACTAATATTAATTGCTAAAAGAAGCATTAATATTTTTTATCTAATAAATAATATTCCATAAAAAATAGAAAAAAAAATCATATATTTAGTAGAATATTTTGTTACGTACCTATTGTCATCATTCAAGATAATATATAGATTATTAAGTCTGGAGTATTTTTTACCAATATATTTATTCAATTTTTGTGTACACCACAATAAGAATTTACAATGCAAATCTTAAGATCAAAAACAATGATAAACTATTTTTTTCCCAGGTGCAATAATGTTAAAATTTGAAACTATCTAAATATATCATAAGATATAAATGATATTATATAATAATACACCTAAAAGCAAAAAAGATAAATTGAGGTGAGATTTTGGTATAAAAAAACATGTCATTAAGATTATTGTTGTATTTTAATATTAACATTAGATAAACAAAACTAATATTTTTAATGTATTTTTAAAAGATTAATCAAATATATATATATATATATATATATATATATATATATATGTATGTATACTTAAAAATACAAGATTAGAAAAAATATTAAATAAAATGGAGATAAAATAATAAAAAGAATTACAAAAAAATCAAAAAAATAATTAGAAGAAATTATTAGAAATAGGCAAATGAATCTACAAGAGGAAATTATATCACTTATATCAATGCTAAAAAATACATATTATAAATAATAAAAAAAACTTAATACTTAGTTAAATAATTTTTAGTTATAAGAATATATTCAAGATGAATTTCTAATGTTTCGACAATCTTATTATTCTAACTTACATAATATATATAGAAATATTTTTTTCTTAAAGAAATACAATTATGTAGAACACTTTAAAATGATATTTTAATAAATATTGGTATTATATAAGTAATTTATTATAAAATTATTGCATTAAAGGTTAAACTTATAAAACCTCTTTTAAAGATACTATTGTAACAAGAATGCAATTTTAGTTTATATCATAGAAAAAAATAGATAAAATATTGTTATATTATAAACATTATAGTTCTAGTAAAATAAAAATGTTTACTTGTTATTTTAAGATGAAAAATATACATGTACTAAATTTTATTTACTTGTATATTCGCTTTAATAAACCAACATAACATACAATTAAAAATTCTAATTGAAGTTTACCATAAGAAAATGATGAAAGTCCATATTTTTTTTTATTATAAAATTGCAATTCTTTAAATTCTATGTTGCATATCATTTATGATAGAATATCTATATATATATATATATATATATCTATATATATCATAAACTATTTTTATTTCGGTATTCTGATCTTTCGGTATTCTGATAATAATTTCTTGGAAATATCAATAATACTATTTTAATTTTTTTATACTTAGTTACATTAAATTATATATTTTAAACTTAAAAAGATATTAACATATATATATATATATATATATAATTTTTCAAACACCTAAACTTATAATTGACCCTACTTGTAATCATTGTAATATGTTACTTGATGGATAGGGTTACGTCAGAAGCAACCAGCAAGTGTAAATTACGTGCTACACACGCCAGATAACTGCTTCAATTCTATCTAATGATGTCATGAAAAATATTTACTCTAAGCTGCTAAATTTTTAATTAGGGATAAACTATACAAACAGACGGATCATTTGTGTACAAGAAGTTATCCTGAATTTCCGGTTCGATTAATATATTTAATATTACTAGATTCCTGCATATTATTTAACATTTTAAGCTATGGAATTAGACGCATTGCGCTACCTGTTGCAATCAGTCACACATGCGAGGTACGACGGAAGGCAGTTCGTATTCAAAACATAAACAAATATGCAAAAAAGCCTAGGGATGGTCGACATTGATCATTATTGCGTATAGAACTCCAAAGTTGTTCAACTGAGGATTTCGGTGAGTAAAACAAATACAGCACGTCGGAACATCATGAGAAATTCACCTACAAGATGTAGACACGGGCATATTCAGATTATAACAGGGAAGTTCCTTGTTCTGGAACCGTCTTCCCAATGTTCTTTCTCATGAGCATTGGAATCCTAAGTTGCACACATAAACTTCAAGATGAAGGGAAGATGACCTTCTCGACGATGTTGTTGTTGAACATGGCATATGCCTGCAAGCATCAATCAACTATTACAATTAGATACAGAGCACACTTGCAAGAGCTTTGTCGACCTGTCGCATATCTATCACTCTCCAGGGCAGCCTACATATGTAATTATTCAGCATTTCAGAACTACACAGTGACTGCAGAATGATATACTACTTCGATAGTTGTCTGAAAGACAAAGATCAACGTGAATTACAAACCATGCCCCTTTTCTCAGGGTTTATCAAATAAAACACATGGTATCAGGTATTGAAGGTGCACCTGTCGCTCACTAAGTCCAATGCTCTTCAAATCCTGTAGCTGAGAAGTCACAGCATTGTTTCATGTGAGACAATTTGCTATAACGACAATCCAGAATCAGCATGATTTTACTCACCGATAACAGAACTGTGAAGGGCTCTGTGGGTACTTGCACGAGGAAATTCAAGGAAGGGTGGATGAAATAAACAACCCAGGTGTAGGTTCTACACTTGGTTCTTAGAAGCCCAAGAAATATAAAAGAACCATAGGAAAACAGAGACGTACATCCTTGAATGGCTCCAGACATTGTTGCCGCAACTCTATTACATCAGCTGCCCTCTTAGGCCCGATTCCCTGAAAAGTGAGTAGTAGAGTCGTTAGGGGGCACCTTTTAACTGAATTTTCTACTCGAAAGTAAATGATGAAGCAAGGAGAGTTTAGTACTGAAGTAGTCTTAAGTGATCCATGATATTTTAGGCAGTGTTGGAATATTTTGATCTCCATAATGATAAGCAGAAGCCTACCTTAAGCTGCAAGAGCTCCTCCCTAAACAATCAACAACGTTAAATAAGGAGTTAAACACAAAAGAGATGGAGGTCCTTTAGAAGAACACGACTTCGTAATCAACAAACCCATTAAACGTTGTGACTAAAATCTATTAACTGTATATGATTCACTTCTTTCCACTTTTGTACTCACCTAGTTGCTGTGTTGAGCACTCTGAGGTATTGCTTTACGAGTGTCATCTGTACAAGAAAGCAATCGCACATATCAAGAACAGGTCACTGACTCTTGTACAGGTCACGTAGAGGTCAACTCAATTATTGCAATATGAAAGTTCCAAGCAATAGTGTTTTCGACCCATAAGGTGTCGCCTCCCAATGTCAAAGTTACATGTGAATGTCCTACAACGTAAAACTGAAATAAACACCAAAAAATAAAGAGTTCGAGTTCACCTGTAAGTCTGGGTTCTTGTGCTTGAACTGTTGAAACGGTGTTAATGATTCTGAAGTAGTGGTAGTAGCTAGAGTGAAGTCTGTCACGAAAGTCGCAGTAGAAGGACTTTCTTCTTGCATGGTCAGTGCAGGTTCAGGAGTTCTGCATCTAATGTTTTCAAAGTCCAAATTCTTCATTGTAACGTGGCTGAGTTTACAAGGTGTACATTCGTTCCTGGCCTGCAGAGGCTCGACGTTCATAGAGATGGGTGACAGGGCTCGCATACTAATTTCCAGACTCTTCAATCTTTCACTTAAAGGGGGCGACTCATCTTGGAACATTGGATTGTCATATTGGATATGAGGAGAGAGAAATATGTTCTCGTCCGGAAGTTTGAGAGACCCTGTTGAGAGAAGGCATAGTTGGTCATCATATTGATACAAAAATGTGGTACGCTATATCATAAAATTAGAGCAAAATCAATTGCAGAAGATTAGATACCGGAGCACGGTACGATTAAGTCCTCGGCGGTGCTCGAGACCTTGTCCTCCACGTTGTCCTTTGGCTTCTTGAACTCGAAGTCCGGCGCTTTCATCAGTCTTTCGTTACTTTTCTGTGCAGTCACTAAGGCCTGTTCATAATTGAAATGCATCAGTAAAACATAATCTTTAAATGGGCTATAAACCAATATTGGTTTGATAGAGGTGACACTACTACTAAAGCACATGCACAAAAAAAAACTATGGGAAGTAATCCAGACTCAAATAAAAAGGGAACTGCTTACGTACATCAAACTGTAGAACTTTTGCTCCAGCATTCTCAGAAAATCTGCATCGAATACCCAAACATGAAACCACAATCGATAAGGCGCAGGTTTTGAAGTTTAATTGACACTTGACGGCTTTTGAAAATACAGAAGACAGTCGTAAAATATCCTCAAAAACGTCGATTGCAAAGAACATCTGAAGTATTGCTTCAAGGCAAACCAAGAAGACAAAACGAGAAGTCTACCTGGATCGAGGTGTTGTGAAGGCGCAGTCGATACCCAGTCCGAATGTTCTTTTCACAGACTTGGTGGAAGGAGAAAATGAGGACAACCGATCATGTGTGGGCGTCTTAGGGGGCAAGGGGCTATGAGGAGGGACAATTTTGACAGGTGTCTTAGGCTTCAACTCTTGCCATTGTCGCATATGGTTATCCACCTTTAACTTCTCCTCTACTGCCGCTTCATTTTCATTCTGACGCAGAGCATGACTTACAATCTGGCTGGGCCAAGATCTATGAGGCATTTGTTGAGGTTCAGAACCCTAAAGCGACGTTTACAACAATCACCAGTTAGACGGGACAATTCCCATAAAAACTGACTAACAAGAACAGATTGTAGTTAGGACCACTGCAGCAGTACGGCCTGTGTCTAACTACCGCCTCCGAAGGCTACCTTAGGTTTTCTTCAGAATGAGAATTGTCGAAAGATAGATTGCATGGGTGTTCAGAAATACCTTGCTGGTGATAACTAGAAATTCACGTTCCTTGATAGCCAGTTGCTCAGTAAGGCTCTTAACCTTGGCTTCAAGCTCTGCTACATTCAGCGTCAACCTGCATACAGAAGAATTCGAAGCTTTGAACGATCTCTGAGAGTAGAATTAAGAAATTAGTCAGATTGTGTGTACTCGAGCCGAGTAACATCAGCACTACAATCGAGATATTTTTTACATTAGAATCAAGATCGAGAGTGTTTGGTCTCACCTCTTCTTTTCCTCATCGACTGTGAGACGATACTCGACGTCCCGTTGCCGCTGCTGAACCAAAGCGTACAAGCAATTGCATGTCCTAGCGATTGAAGCCTGTAGAACATGATTGCTCCCCTTGTAAGAGCAATCACATGAATTATGATTATACAAAAAGAGCACACCAATGATTTTCTCTTCAATATGTTGAGGGGAGTTTGCCTCTGCAAGTCCCGTGTATTAAAGAAATGAGAAGAGTGAATCTCTGGGTCAGTTGAGATACTCACAGGATCATTGGAATTAAGATCTAGGCTGGAGGGAAAGCCACATGTTTCTAAAGACTGGTTGAGGAAATCAATGCACTGGTCCAAGTTGTGGATATCAGCAAAAGTATCATCCCTGTAATTGAAGAAGATACTAAATCAACAAATCACGTGGTAGAACTCGCAACCGAGAACACAAATATCTTTTATGCAAACGAAGCCTGCGTGATGAGAGGGCAACGACTGAACAAGAGAGAATTTAGGTCTAATGAAAGTAACCAATGAAAAAAAATACATTTAGAGACTTGGTTTCAATTAAACGGTTCACCGACTGGTCCATTCAACTGGTCAGATTCAAACGGAAAAAAGGAAGAGAAATGAGGCTGAGAAGACATACCTAGAGGTGTAGCAGATATTATACAAATCCTGCGCATAGATGAGCATTAGATCGTCGGTCGAAACTGGTCATAGATGGCTTACTAGTAGCGACATTCAAGACTGGTCGACCGGGCATGCATAATCCATACTGTTGATAAACCAATGGACATACGAAAGCTTGACCGATGTCCACTTCGGACCTCGACGGTCTTACAACTATATTAATTTTGGGTGAGTTCAGCAAATAATTAAGTTGACAAGTTCTCAATTGAAGTTTCGATCCAGCAAGGATTTCGAAAAGAAGTTTCAGTCAGTAAAATGCAAGAGACACTCAAGTGCATTCCAGCAAACATCCATAAGCCGCTTCTAGAAAATAACCACGTGATAATTTTCTTGAGATGTGTTTTCGACATCAGAGTTTTCACTTTTGACCGAATAAGACAGTGTATCATGGCATAGGGAGCAGGAAGAAAGTACCGAAAAGGCAGCATCGCCGTCATATATCCCCATGGTCGTTACTTATGTCTTTATCTTTTTCCCCGATGCCCTGAACTCCTCACAACGACAACAAAACCGTCTTTGCGAGAGCTGCCAGCCAAAAATCCTTTTCCAAGAGGCATACGAGGGAACTGAAAGAGGGCCCCTGGGTTCAGGCTAGAATTCGGAAAACACAAGCACGCGCATTCCTCCTCTAGAAATAACTCCTTACTATCATCACGAAAAAGCAGCGCCAGCTCCGCATCTAACCACAACGCGTCACCTCTACTGTAACAAAATTCGAAAGAATGAGACTAAAAAGTACAACCTCACGAGTACAACCAAATTAAGGCCTCGTCCTAACACAGTGGGCACAGGAGGCACACAACCAAACTGCAGCGGCAGAGGCAGCACGCTGAGAAACGGAGCACTTCAAGCAAAAATTGAACCGCATAAATGTGAGGTAGTCGTTGGAGTAGAAAGACGAATTCTACGAGAGAGGCCCGTGCGAGCACCCGAGGAAACGAAACTGTACCGAGACTCGGACCACAAGAGGCGCAATTCAGATAATCAACGCAGGTTAAACCTAGAGGGGGGCGAGCGGCGAGAGATCGAAACACAAATATCGAGAGCTCGAACGGAATTCTGCGTCTCGCAAAGGAGGACCAGGCTAGCCATCCCCCCCCCCCCCCCCCCATTTAGAGGGCTGCCGGGAAAGCCCACACAACCGCACTGATAGCCGGTCCCTTTAGATGCCCCCCCTGA